ACTTAACTCTGAAATTCTGATAAGCCCTATCAACTCAGGGTTGTGTTTAATGTTCACTCCTGCTTATATACTGAAGATACAACCTAGCGGTCACAGTGTTAACACTCCCCAATATCTATTACAATTAGTTTTTGATTAAGAAGCCTAGCATGGCTTTTGAAGCCTTTTATGTTGTGTCAAATGGCTAGTGATGGAGTGAGATGCACAGACACCTCCCAGTAACAAAGCATCTTGTAAAAGGTTTCAAGTGAACTATTTTATCATCCTAATGGAAACCAGATGACTCTAACTCCCCCTTTAATTTCAACTATTTACTGAAGAGTCCTTGTTTTGAATTACTTAAAGATTTATTCCAAACCACTATCTCATGCATTAAGAATCACTAATAACAAAGCCATTCTGAGCAGAGCAAAGCTTTTAAAAGAATGTGACTATGCCATTGCATTTATTCTTAAGTTTAAACCTCGTTTTTTAATGGCTTTCACATTTTTATATCTCAGTTTATTTTATTGGTGTGTTTTATTTTGATTTTTATTTTTTTCCCCTTGAAATCCCAAACACATTTTTCTACAGCCATTTCCAGCTCACTCTGCTTTTTCCTGCCCTACTGATGGGCACCGCAGGCTGGAGCTTGGATGGTATAGCAGAACCTGTGCATGTACTCCTTCCTACCATCATACAGACAGCCTCTGCTTTGGATCTCCTCAGTGGGTTTAGCACAGGAAGGGCTGCCAAATTACGGCCTTGGGGAAAATTGTGTCCACCATGCACAGCTTCGTTGTTTCTGCTGAGCAGTAAAATTTTCAGGGGACGAAAGTGTCGCTTCGTGTTAACCACTGTGGCCTGATGGCTGGAGTGACCCCGGAACAACGGGAGCACCAGGGGCAATCTGCTGCTTTGCCCTTGCCCACTATCTCTTTCAGGCTCATCCCTTCCTCCCAGGCACATCTCTGCCTGCATTGCTGCAGAGGGAACCCTGGAATCGGCGGGATTAACTGGATTAGCGGTGCAGAGCGAGCCTCCTCTCTCTGCCGCTGCAGTATCTGCTGCCTGGGGTGCAGACCTCCCCATTTCCGTGGAGCCTTGCAGAGACACAGAAATTGCTCTTAATGAGCACAGCCATGAACTGGTTTTCATCCCAAAATGTGACACTGTTATTTACATCTGTCAGTGTTTTACTCAGCTCCCCTGCTCCCTGTGGACTATCTTCTAAGATGCGTCAGGCAACGCAGCTGCAATATTCTTTTGCCAAAATGCCCTTTTGACTCAAAAGTTCTTCAGTATACATTTTAGTGGCAGGAAAAAGATTAAAAATTGACATAGCTAATTATAAATAGATTTTTTTAAAGGTAAATTTATGAGAAAAAGATACATGTAAAGGAAGAAGAAGGTGGAGAAATATGGCTGTCCAAGGATAAGAGGTTGTATATTAAAGTGTAGCCATTAAAAGTCTTCAAGAACCTTAGCTGTATTGAATAAGGAATTTGAACAAATAGAAGATGGTCTATTTCTAAAAACATTAAACAGAATTTTGTTGCAATGAACATCAATAACTATTGACCTTTTGCTATCACGAGTCTCCTGAGCCACTGAAACAAGCAGTTAACAAATCAGACACCCACACCAAATGGACAGATGTTCATCCTTCACTGAGATTTCTACTGTGTGAAGATGTATTTTCCAATCTAGATCAAGTCTAGAGGTCTTTAGTAACTCTAGGCCTATACTGGTCTTTGGACAGAGCTAGAGTTCATGGGATGAGGGGAGGAGGGGAGTGAAGTGTTTTAGGTGGGATTGAACCTCAGGTCATACAAGGGCAGTGATAGGACAAAGGGGAATGGCTGTAAACTCAGAAAGGGCTGGCTTAGATTAGATATTAGGAAAAAAAATCTTCACTAAGAGAGTAATGAGGCACTGGCACAGGCTGCCCAGAGGAACTGTGAATGCCCATCCCGGGAAAAGTTCCTGGCCAGCCTGGATGGGGTTGTGAATAACCTGCTCTAGTGCAAGGTGTCCCTGCCCATGGAAGAAGGTCGGAACCAGATGATTTCTGTGGTCCCTTCTAAACCAAACCAGTCTGTGCTTCTGTGATACCAAACAGGATGCCAAAAGGAGAGGCATGTTAAAAACATCAAAGGTAAAAACATCTACAGCTGCTCTCCTCTTATTCTGCTGTAACAAGAAATATTTAAAAAAATATCTTCAATATTTTATTTTATTTGGTGGGTAAAACAGGTATTAATTAATAGCTCTCTATCATTAATTAGTTTTCAGAATCATGAGTTAGACTTCATCTGACAAACAGGAAACAGGAACCACAAAATAAAATGGTCACGTGTTCATGAGAAGATAGAAGTATTAATTCTCAGTTCTTCAGCCAAGCCATTAGTCTGAGTTGCATTTTTAGCCTGAGACTGCATATAAAATATATAAAGCATAAATACTTCTGCACATGCTGGCACATAGAGAGGGTGACTTCTGTATATCATTAAGGAAACTTTAATAAAATGCATTTTGGTAGAAGTCAGGGAGAAAGGCTCTTCTCCTGCCGGTGTAGCATGAATTGTGTGCTGCATCCACAGGCCCAGAAACCCTTTCAGTTGCACCACAAAATATCCCACCAATTTTCTTTTACTGTGCTTAAAATGCCCTCTGCTTTTTGATTGTACATTTTAGATGATCTTAGATGTTTCTCCAAATTTACTCAGTGTTCAGATAGCAGTGCTTTGCTTAATATTCAAACCTAGCATTTTTTAAACACTAGAAAAGTGTAATATTTATGCACAGAATTACTTTCCCATAGTGTGAGAACCATGATGATTACTGTTGAAAAACTGGAAATTACTCTCCCTTCTAACATAAAGTTCTATACATTTTGTATAATTTTTAGTTAAAATAATAATTAAAGGTAAAAGCCAACTGATTCTTGTCCACTGAAGTTTGCATGATGAAAACATGGCAGGAGAGGTGTAATTAGTCTCAGATCTGGCTGCCTTTATTTCCCAGCCTGAACAACCAGGGACCTATTTAGAGCCAAGTCAACTAGGACTAATTGTGGGCCTAAGAGTGAGGCCTGGCTTCATGGTGAGTTTGATATTCAACTGGAAAAAACAGATAGGACTGCACAGGAAAACTGCTGCTGAGCTGATAAGCCAAAAGGAATTGAAAAGAAAAAAATCTCAGTTTTTAGGATGTGGGGGAGACATGCTGAGAATTTATATTTCAGGAAAAAAAAAAGGTGTTGGTAAAACTTTTACCATTGGCAATTTAAATTATAGTTAGAATATATTTAGAATTAATAAGCAGCTCTAGTAATTGCTGGTGGAATATTAAATCCAAATATTCATATATTTTAATATCTTTCTTGTAATGAACAAAGGGACTAGCGATATGTTTGGGGATGGAACCAATTCTTTAAATATTTTATATGCTGCAGGGTTGTCAACAGGACAGCATCAGTCTGAGAATCAATTGCAGAACGAACAGCTGTGCAGTACTTTTTTCAGTGATTCAAATAAATTTGCTCTCCATGAATTAAAAAATAATTTGTTCATGAGATGAGAGAGATTAGAAAAAATGAGAAATGAATGTCTTAAAACTCAGTCTCCTCTAGGTCTGATTTTCTGATGCTTTTAAAATATTGGTCCTTGCCCTTTCCCAAGTTATTTCTATTAGCTATTTTCCTAAGCTTGCTATAAACTGCCATTTTTCCTCTCTGTTAATTATTAATATGACCTGTTTATGTACCAGTTATCCAGCTAACCATTAATGTCTGTTTACTCATTGATGACCTTTGCAACTACATGCCAGGCACATGGCCAGTAAATGTCAACATTTTTTAATAACCTAAAAAATACTCTTCATAGCTTATCTACCTAAATTTTTCTGATGTGAAAAACAAATTTTAAATATTACTTATAATTCACATACATCTGTATAAGGATTTTGCAGTCAAATAGCACAGTAAAAGTAAAGAATAAAAAAAATCTTTACTTAAATTCCTTACTTATGATTTTGTTTTAAAATACATTACCACAGGAAAAAGTATAGGTTCCGTTTGCGGGCATAATAAAATGCTTCACTAAAAGAATTATAGTAGGCAAATCTTTGTGTTTTTTCCATCATAATTTCAGTATTAATCTGAACACAAGTAAGATGTCTCTTCCACATGTTCTACTATAAGCTAAAGGCTACACGAGGGATGCAATTGGATTAAACCTTAAAGTGATGACACTAATTTTTACTCATGATAGCAAACCTTATGTATATTTTTGCTCACTAAATGTGCCTAATTTAAAAAGAGAAGGAGCAGCCCAGGATGAAAAAGAATATGAGGGCACTTCCCACCCAAATTGATATAGCTATAGGGTGGCCTCATCCAATCTGCTATAGAGATAAGTGAAAGAGGCAGGTTTCTTTTTCCTTGGTCCACTAACATCCTTTCCTAAGAAAAGCCTTGAAATATTGTCTTTGTGATTACAATTTGCAGGTTGGAAATTGGCTTCCTATTGAAATATTTTCAAATATTAGCATCATCCCAGCCATAAGTAATGGTGATGGCATTTACAGAGATTGCAGCTTTGATATATACATAGGTATATGTTCACATTTTCTCGTTCATTGGAGTTCTAACTCCAGTAAAAATTAGGTCTCTTTTTTTTCCTTTTTTTTTAGTTACAGCCTTGAACACTTGCTGTGACTGTCACTTTGTGTTGAATTTATCGTACAGCATGTGAGTTGTAAGGCTGAGGAGCAATCTGTCATAAGCCATTTTATCAATAATCTCTGAAAGGGTTTGTTTTGGTCCTGGCTGGGAGGTAAGCTTTCTAGATTTGTACCCTCGGTTCCAGAGACAATTTGGGCTCAATAGTATTGTTTCAAAGGGGTTTGTCTGTGCTGTAACACATTTACTTAAGCCCTGTGCTTCTGTACAGGGTGGTTATACAGTACTTCAAGCATATAAATGCCTTTCAGGTTTTCTGTACTGAATGATAACTCACCTTGTCTTTCTCGGTGAGGTAGGTAATAAATAGAAATCTGGACTGTAACTGAGACATTCTGACTTAGTTAGATCTTCTGGTGTCCTGAAAAAGACAAGTAGACTCAATTACCATGCCAGCAACTACATGAAGATTGTCAAATTAAATCCAAAAACCTATGTTTAAATAACGGTATGACAAAACCTGAAAAAAGGCAAGAATATCAAGCTCTTCTGACATTTTGACCTGGAGTTACAGCACTTTGGAAACAAAGAAAAATATTCTTTAAAATGTGCATTATTAGCGTGAAGGACTGAGGGGCAGGACTTGGTCAAATCCATCTTAGCCCGGAGATAGGGACAAGTGGTAATACAGCCATTAATCTACGCTGCATTCCTGCTTTTTGTTGTGATAACCACGTGATTTATTTGTTAAATGTGTAAATATATTACTAAAAGGGGGAAACAAGTATACTATACTTTTTCAAGGCTGTTTTTAACCAGCACCTTAATTAAGTCACCAAGAGCCTCGTGAGCTGGATGAGCGTTACGCGGAATTAGCGTCACCCACGGCTTGTGGGGAGCTATCCCCAGGTTCAAGCACAACAGCTGTCTAATGGGGTACAGTGACACTGCACGCCAGGGGAGGACGCGAGGAAGCATTCCACATCCGATTGGAACCGCAGGGAGACCTGAGTGGGAATTTAATTATTTCTGCTGGAACTTCTTCAGAACATTGGCTCCGGCACCCTGGCCTGGCGAAGCGCGCCGCGGAAACTTTAATGGGCTGCAGTTGTGCAGGGGAGGCTTTTCTTTTAGAAATCACTGAAAGACAACAGCTCAGCACACCTCAGCATTGTCAGGGCAGCAAAGGGATCCAGTGCTGACTCAGAGGACAGTGCACGAGCTGGAATTGTCAGCACCATCCTTTGCAATGGCCAAAGGAGATGTCTGATCTAAGAGTGACCTAACTCAACACGTCTCAGCTTGTGAGACAAGGGACAAGGATCAAATGTAATATTCCTGTGGGAAGGGGTGTTCTCTGCTCATCTGCTTTTATGTGCAAAGCAATGACATGTTTAAACAGGGTTTCCACCTTGCCCCCCCTCCAGTGCTTGTTATTTATAGAGAGCTGTTTAAGTTTTCCAGATAAATATGTATTCAGAGTCTTTCCAAATCATATAATGTGCTCTACAGATCAGAGCAACTCCATTTTAAATTGTTTTTAAAAACACAAGGTATAATTTGGTAGACGGGAGCAGCTCTATTGGTTTCATCGAGAGCTGGGCATTTATTTTCCACTGTAAAGATCATAATATTTACCCAATGGACCAGAACAGCTCCTTCTTAGCCTTTACTCCTTCTATTATGCCACAATTATTTAAATACAGATTCTGCTTGCATTACTTATTTTGTACCCAAGTGGATGGGGATCACCTGGGTGAGTGAGTAAAAGGGGCAAGGGTTGTCTCATGCAGCCCATCATCTTCTGGAAGTCTGGTTGCAGATCTAGAGATAATAGGGAGAGATTAAGAACCGACTGCTTCCTGACTATTTTTATTTATAATGTATCGTTCATTTCTCCCTCCAGTTCAGTGTGAGAGCAGGTTATTCAGCCATGTGTTCTGTGCAATGCAGGTGGGAGATATTTTAAATGCCTGTATGCTGACAAGGTGAGTGGTTAGGGCATGATTTTGTTATATATGTGTGTAGATGTGTGTGTATGTAAGAAAGCACAAGAATAATTTCCATGTGATTATTACTTTCCTGCTTTATTTTTGTGTGGCCTCAGAAGGCAGGAGCATAAATCCATACTGCAGGGATAGGCACTGGTTTGTTATTTATTTTTGGGGAGCTAGCAGAGTGCTTGATACCATAAAGACTGCAGCCGAGCAGATGCATGTTCAGAAGCACTTACCAATGGTATAATTCAAAGTACTTCCTGGTGATATAAAGGAGATGTTTCTGCTGCAGTGGTTTCCTCATGTGTGGGCATTGCTGCCTTAGGCTTTCAAAAACCTTGGGATTGATTCACCCAGAAAGGAAAATTAGCAACTTAAATTACCAGAGTAGTCAGTGGGCATGGGCTTGGGGCTCGCTGATGCTAAATGATGGCATTTACACATATTTTATATCTCTTAATTCCCATATTTAAAAGAATCTTTTTATCTGCATCATATTCCCTTATTTTTGATGAGGCCTTATTCTTCCTCTCATTTCTTTTAATAATTTGGTTTTATAATCAATTAATACAGAGAGTCAAATATAGTCACTACAGAACTAAGTGCAAAACATGTCCAAACCACTTTCTCCTGTGTTGAAAGATATGATCCATCAGGGAACACCCTTCTCTAACTTATTTTTCCAGACTTGGTGTCTCCCTTAGCCAGTATGTCAATATGCAGCCACAGAAGCAGAGGTAGGCACCACATTTGGTGTATATTATTTTCTTTATTTAAGAAGCTAACCAAAGATGCTGCATGGTGTGATTGTGATTTTCACCTACACGTGATGATGGCTGAACTGCATGATGACTAAACTGTTGAATTTCTTTTTTTCCACATTGTGCATTTCATCCGGCTCTGTGACTCCTTTCTCTCACAGCCCCTTTCTTCAAAGAAACTGCCCTGTCAGCAAGTTCTCAGTCCTCTGTCATGTTCTGCTCATGCCTCCCCATAGTCAGCTGGTTCAGTTCCAGCTCCACTACAGGCCTCTGAAAACACAAAATATTTTCTTTCTTCCAGAAACGTAATTCTGATTTTATATCCCAGATGAGCAATTCAAAAAGCATTTGAACACTGAAACGTAGTTTGAGTTTTGGAGTTATACTGAGTTACAAGAGATGAAATCTTCTGAAGTTCTGGAAGTGTCTAGTGTGGGGTTTTGGCCAAAGGTATTCTCTGAACAAAACTACTTAAAGAAATTTTCTTCCTGATTGACAAAAGGAATGGATGAGTATCAAGTGTTTAAGCTGCAGATAGTTACAGGAGTGGTCAATTTAGCCAAGGTTGCTGATAGAAGGCAGCTCTGGCCTCAGTTACACACTCTTGCAATTTGCTTCACATCTACACTCAATATCTGGCCAGGTTAGCCTGACTGAGAGCTGCTGGCTCTTTGAGCCCTCAGCAAGGTTGGTTTTCAGGCTGTTCCATGCCCTGACCTGGCTGGGTGTGCATTCACACATCTGCCATGCAATGGGCACGTCAGGGATGCCCAGCCCACGAGGAAGATGAAGATGAGGTTGGCAGCAGCTTGAGCACCAGCAAAAATCCTCTGTTGGGTCTGTTTTGACCAGGACAGCACTTTCAGGCATGGATGTTAGGCCCATCCATTAATGTCTGGCTAAACAGGGTCATTGCAGGGTCTCTTGGAGGGATCTAATTAGAGGTCTGTTTTTCCTTTAAAAGTCCTTGCCTAGAATTTCCCTTACTTTTCCAAACACCCTAAAGTAGACAATACATCACAATGAGGTCAAAGCAGAGGAAAGGGAGAAAAAAAAAGATTCCCAACAGCTTCAGAACAATGTCAGTTTTCATTTATTATCTAGAAGTCATGTGAATTCTAAAGTCACCAATCATCATCAAGAGAAGAATGGATGCATGCTTGACAAGGAAGATGCTGTCTGTGGCAGCATAATATTCAATTTACTGCCAAGGCTACTGACTTGTGGAGCAATAGGAGAATAAGTGAAATAATTGATTTCTTACCTTGAAGGTGATATGGCATAAGAATTATGCTAGCCATGCTAATTGTCTCTTTTAAAGCAACTTTCTGGATTCTGTATTAGTCCTCTGTAAAAGCAGAAGTTTTTTAAGACTTTCTTGGAGCCATACCATGAAAACACCCTCTTTCTTAGTATGTTAAGGGTGCAAAGAAAAACCTGATATAATGTTCCTACCAGAACCCAGGCTTTTTGCTTGCCTGAGATTGCAAACAGCCTGCAACAAAACCTAAACTACCCCTTTGCTACTCTTTGTATTCTGCCCCAAAAGAAACGTTTTTGTGGCAGCTTTGGGTGGAGGTCCTTGCAGAATGAGCAGAGGGCATCGGATTTCTTTAACACGACCCTGCCCCATTCCTATGCCTATATATTGTCTATTTAGGGAAACATTCCACTGTCCTTGCTCATGCTGAGCAGCCCTGTAGATATAAATCATCCTGCTGTGGAAGCAGGCACAATTCAGTGTGACTAACAGACCCTTCTGTGCTGATGAACATTAATGGATGTGGCATCGTCCATCCTGGTGGAGATAAAGCAGTGGCACTGCTCGTGGAGTAAAGTATGAGTAAATGCAGCAACACATCAGCTAAGGGGAGGAGTAAACTACCTGGGGTGGGAATCTGCCAAATGACAGAAAACCACTTTACTGAGCTGAATGGTTTAATAGTCTTTTATATATTGTCTTTTATATGTTTATATCAATAATTACACTTCACAGTTGGAAGGAGCTGTAAGAGTGGTAAACCACCAAAATACACAGGGGCAGGAGTATGGTTTTAGAGTGTGGGACTGACTCTCTTGAAGTAGTTGTCAAACATGTTCAATAAGGAGCAGTTTTTAATGCTCAGGAAGGGGTTAAATTCGACAAACTTAAATATTTTCCAAAACAATTTATATTTATTAATGGCTACTACAAAATCCATTTGCCCATAATCAAGTGAAACTTGAAGGTGCTGCCTTTCTTAAGTGCCGACAGTCAACAATATTAAAGTAAATAGTGGAGGACATTCCAAGATAGTATTAACACAATTGATTTATTGATGATTGCACAATGGGAGGTTATCTTTTGTTAATTGACTCTGTAAATAAGATCATAGGCGTCTCAAGCGAAGGAAAAAAAAATCTATTGCTACTAGAAAGTCAACAGGGTGTGCTGGCTGTGCCACTCCATAAAGCGTCTGCTGTGCTGTAAAACTCACAGGGCTGGGTAATGGCTGTGGGGCATTTTTACCTAAAGTTTCTAACAAAACTCATGCATACATGGAAGGGACACCCCAAATGTTGTTAGCTTGGGCTAACATTTTTCCTGCATGGAAAAAGCGGGAACCATTCCTAGAACTCATAAATACATTTTGGTGGAATCCATACAGCATAATTAGGAGTCC